CTCTCTCTCTCTCTCTCTCTCTCTCTCTCGCTCTCTCGCTCTCTGCTGCAAACAGACTTGCCCGTCTTATTGACTCGGCACGGTTACAACGAACGAATGAAAGAGCCTCGAAAGCGTTTCGATGTAAGTAGCTGTGATCCCTGCTGAAGTCTGCACACGTACACCCCGTCAATACGCTGAGATTGCCAGCACTGACGTCACACCTACGGGGCAGCGCAGCCTGGATTAACCGCCATTGCTAGTCTACGCACAGGCATGCGTGCCTGGGGGATGCAGCGAATTGTGAATTCTGCTGGAAAATATAACGATTTGCAAGTCTCGTGAACGGAAAGAATGGCGCGCCGGGCCGGTATAGAACGGCGCGAGGGCCTGCGTACTGTGCGCGCCCCTCAAGGCACGATGTCAATATCACCATCAATAGACACGTGAATCTCGCGTGTACAGGAATCGTTGAGTATACTATAATACTACTGAGTGCGCGGTTACAGCAATACGACGGCGACGGTGCGTCAGTCGTGCTTTCAACTATGCGATACGATTCATGTTTCTCTACAAAGACGCTTTCATTCGCTGTTGGGTAGGGCTGTAACGATCCACCGAAATCGAATCGAATTGCGATTCTCCCTTGATCTGATCCTCGATATTTTTTCGCGTATTTTCGATTCGAACCAACCCGTTAGTACTTTAGATTGTATGCGGCGGCCGAAGCGTGTGTGAGACGCACGCTCTGACTGGTCAATAATCACGACTTGCCAGTCAGCCAATCAATGGCTACAGCACATCGCTAACATGTTTACAGGGCTGAAGTTTGAAGAATCTGTACAGATTTGTTATTTCATAAACCAACAGATCCGCTTAAAATCTTGACAAATCCGTACATAGAACATATATACCAGGGTGCGAAATATAAATAAATTTAAGAGAAAAGAACAAATGTAATAGTTGGTTAAAAGAGTTTTTATTGCAAAATAATGAAAATATACAAAATAAGATAACATTTCCATGTTTTGGGAATCGAGTTGACCGAATCGAATCGAGAGGCTAATATCTAGATACGGATAGAATCGAGAGGTATGTGTATCGTTACAGCCTTACTGTTGGGTATTTGTTTGATCAGGTGGATGCATGGTTCGTTGATTAATAATATTAAAATGTTATTCTGCCGAATAAGTTGCACAGCTGGTATAGTTGCAGCATGAGCAAAAGAGCTCGACTAACTGTATCGGCTAAGATGCATGTGTTAGGGCAGCAACCATCTCCCCTCTAGCATTGGCTAATATTCTATTCATCACAGTATGTTGGTCGTCGTTAGCAAACCAGATTTCGTAATTCCCTCGATTCATGGAAGGAGCCGCTTGTTTCTGCGCCACGCCCACCGCGTGGCGTATGATTATCTTCATCATCATCATCATCATCGTTACTCATTAGAGGCTTAACCTCACGAGTCCGGGGAATCCAGAAATCTTGTACTCCTGTGTACGTGTGGTGAAGCCCAGCAATGATGCTGGCGGAATAAACGATGGGGGGAATTTCCCACGATGATATCATCATCCAGGGTTTGTGTGTCTCTTCCTCTTATTATTAACTGCTAAATATTTCTGCTCGATAATGGTGGTAACTGTTCGTGCGATAGTGTGTGAGCAAGAAATTCCGTGCGAAACGACAATGCGCATCACGTTCAGAGACACAAGAATGTCACGCGGGTCGTTTGCGTTGTCAGCGTCAGGGGCGTGTACTGGGGGGGGGGTCCAGGGGGTTCGGACCCCCCTGCTCGCGCAGAAAACGCATCTAAGGGGGTCTAATTTCAAAAAATTTCTGGGAGAGGGCCCCCAGACCCTCCCTTCGCGTGCTTGCAAGTTTGGGTTACGGTTAGACCCCCCCCCCTGCTACAAATCCTGTACACACCCCTGAGCGTTGTACGCATCGTGTAGCGAGATGGAAGTCTTTCTTGGCATCGATTTTTGGAAGTCATGAGTACCAACGTGTGCGACTCAAGTGCGATGAAGGCACGACGCCGTTAACCGTCAGCTGTATTATTGTGCGAATTTATGACATGCGATTTTAAATACGGTTTTCCTGGTGTCAAAGCGCTAGCTCGGGGTGTAGTTATTAGCCTGATTGCACAGTGTCAGTGTTTTCGGCATCGAGATCAGGAGTCTATCAATAGATATTGATCAATATTGATAGATTCCTGATGAGATGATTGGGCATGCCACTTAAATCGACTACGTCACGAATTTTCTATGGTGTATATATGTGAAATTTTTGTTGCAATTTCTGTGCATTAAATGTTAGTACTAACGGGATTAAATGTATACTAAAATTCTTACCTGATCGGATTGTTTCTCAACTAGTTATGTATCCAAAAAACCTGGGCGATTTGATATATTGATCATGACATTAAATGCTTGCAGGCACGAATGTTTGTTCACATCGAACGGAATAGCAAAGTAGGAAGTATAATGCAGCAATTTCACCATAAAAATTGAACGGAATCACTTCCATTTTGTGAAAAAGTGAATTAACTTTGTTAAAGTGGACATGATTTTTTTATTTTTACTATTTACGCTGACGTAATCACTTTAAGGTCATTGACGTCTCGTAGTCATGGTCGCGTGCACGGTCGTGTATCACGCGCGCTCGCTCACCGACCATTCCGCGTTGCAGATTCTGAGCAAGGACTCGGTGACGGTCGCCGTGGACGCCGTCATCTACTTCCGCATCAAGAACGCGACGGCGAGTATCGTCAACGTCAGCAACGCGAATGCGTCGACTCGTCTGCTGGCCGCGACTACCCTCAGGAACGTGCTCGGCACAAAGACCATGGCTGAGATCCTGTCTGATCGCGAACACATAAGCCACACCATGCAGGTAGAGATGCTACTGTGCTATTATTATTATTATTATTATTATTATTATTATTATGATTATTATTATTATCGTTGTCAATATTATTATTATTATTGTCATAATTATTATTAACTTATGTTGTTACTACTACTATTACTATTATTCGTAAGTAGGTGCTATGATGCTTATGTGATAACTAACGATAACCAAGAATTTATAGCATGTTGGATAACCAAGAACAATGTTAACCAAGGAATTGGTTGCTCCAATCCTGTGTATGAGGCCCATCATACTGCCATAGTAATTATTATTAATATCATGAACATGTGTATATCTCATACATATACTAGTCAATCCTTTTTTATAGTTATATTCATTAATGTAGTACTAGACCCCCCCACACCCCTCGTCAGCCTGTATTTACCAGTTCCCTCACATCCACAAATCCTACGTCTGCTTCTTCTAGTCTGCACGTCTGTCATTTAGGGTTGTCTGGAAATGGTAGTTAGGTTTGACTCGAGCAATTACATTTCTCAGATTCACGGCTGAGTGTTTTGTAGATCAATGCATCCTAAGATTGGATAAAAAGAGACAGGTTCAATTACGTTACATAATGCGCTTATACTCGAGGCATAGTCGCTTTCATTCTGTGATTAGAAATGTGCATACGATGTGCACGTTCAGCCTTCAGTAAGGAAGCATGGCAGTGGAATTGTAATTAGAGAAGTAATGCTGCTGCTACTTCGCCCGCTGTTGCAGCCGCTGCTGCCATCTTATGCTATTGATTGATTGAGTTGCTATCATTAGACGTAGTAAGTACTTCACCAGCAGCAGAGGATTGCGTTAGACGTTGCCGTTCATTTAACTGCATTATATGATTATGGCGAGTTTATGTGGTCTTCATTTACTAATGCGATCTGGAGGCTGGGATGTAAAGCAAACGGAGCAAACGGAGCAGTCTGTTATTGTATGTTCCCAAATTTTGTTGGTAACAAAAAATCCACCATAGACTGATCTTGACTCTGCGAAGTAATGTCATTGTAACATATACACGTATGTGGTATATAACTACATGAATATAATGTGCTGGCTCTTGCAACTGCTGCGTTAATGTGTGTAATGTTATTACCTATATTGCCGAAATTCTGCAGCAGCGAAACAGTGCTGTATGTAACATACCACCTAGACAACCTTTCCCATGTCTTAAAGTGTTTTTAAGTCTTGGCTTGTAAAGCTTTTGCATTCATCTCGATGGTATGTGTCAAGCCATGTCTTGTTATGTTGAAATCAACCCTTTTATAATGTCTAGATTAATGTTTAATTAGGATATATGTTATGAGATATATACTTCATGTATGCTCCTATAATCGCAGGCGACTTTAGTTGTTATTGTTTCCTGCTCCCGTCGCTACAATCACCTGAATCTCTTTTTGATCCATTACAGTCTATTCTGGATGAGGCCAGCGATCCGTGGGGCATTCTGGTGGAGAGAGTAGAGATGTGGGTATATAGCACTACCCATTGTTTTCCCTGTTACCTTTCACGACCACTGCGCAGAGAGGCCAACCACTACGATTTATCCGTATTTTATGCGAATTTCGTTTGCATTTTGACCACTACGACCAGTTTGCATACAACTACGATTTTTATTACGATCGATTTACATATTTTGTTTCAGTGTTACATTGATATAACATGATTGAAAATAACTACATGTATTTAGCAGCAAATATCAGTGTGAACTTATTGTCATTTTGGGTCCCAGAATGCAGGAAATTGCATCTCGGAATCAAAATTTTTCCCAGAGGGCATGCCCCGAACCCCCCTAGCATACTCGGGTCACTGCGTGACCCTCGGACTACAGACGTCAGATATCCTCACTACAGTTTGCTCAGAAAAGTGTTGGCATCTCTGACTGTGAAAACATTTCTCGTAGTGGCTTTGTGTGTCGTTGTCGTCTAATAATAATTATTATTATTATAATAATAATAACAATAATGATAATTATGATGATTGCAGAAAGGACGTGAGGCTCCCGGTGCAGCTTCAGCGTGCGATGGCTGCGGAGGCTGAGGCAGCGAGAGAGGCTCGTGCAAAGGTAAGAGCATCCGAACACCCGTAGATACGTAGTGACCTAATGCTGCTACACCCGAGCACCTTCCTTCCCGAATCACTCTGCTTCACTATCTGGATCCTGCAGTATCTGGTGGGGCGATGTTTGCTGTTGTTGTTATCTATAAAATCTCACATTGCATGTTTGGTTTGACATTTTAGGGCTTGGACCGTGAATGATCTCATGCATGTGCTGCTAGCTAACGGTTTCTGGCTGCCTTCCAGTGCGTGTTATTGCGCTGTTGATGTCTGTCAGTCTAACTTGATTGTCTGCATTCATTTACATAGTTTGCCTCGACTAAAATTTATTTGCGATTTAATTTGCTCGCAAAGAGTAATTGCAAAGTAAATTTAAAAAGTTTTTTGAGATGTTTCAGCTCATTCTGATGACGACTTCATACAGGGGCTGCATTAGACACTGATTCACGACACTTGTTTTTAGAGACTCCTTTTTCCTTTTTCTTCTTTCTTTTCGGTTACTTTATTTTATACTGGACTCAAGGGTTTAAATCCACATCAGTAGAACCCACTCCAGGAATCTGGCTCGGTCCAGTTTTTTAGCAGTTCTTCCATTGCACAATTTTTATTTGAAGCAGATTTTTACGACTGTATGCCCTTGCTAACATCAACCCGTGACGGGAAGTTTTCCACACTCCATCTCTTTTTGCTGAGTGCTAAGCAAAGAAGCAGTGTGTACCATTTTACAAGTCTGGTTTGGAGTTGAACCCCCGACCTTCCACATGCGAGGCGAGCACTCAACCATTGAGCCATCGCAGCGGTTGAATATTGTGTCACATTATTGTTTGCATCACATATCTGTGCTCCCACGTGCTGCGACTGCGCCCATACATGACCCATGACCCATGAGCTGCCTCCCAAACGTCCTGGATCAGCGCATTTTGATCTGTGCCTATTCTCCGAGTTCGATCGAAACACTGGAATGCAGGATGTTGAGACAAACCTACAGTGACATGTTTATTTGTGTCGTTCATGTAGAAAATTAAAATCCACCCAGAAACGCCAACGAAACACGTGCCTACTCTATTCTTTGCTCCTAACCAGTACCAGTACCACCCCTGCTACTACCAGTACCACCCTACAAGCGTTACCACTATTTACTACTAACAACTAATACCGGCTATCTACATTTGATAATATTTGTTGTTTTATTACTAGACATGTTTTCCACGTAGTTTTCAATGACTGTGACCAGCATGTGTTTGCTTATTAAACGACGCTTTATCCTTGCACGAATGAATGAAACGTGTAATGAATTGTGTAAAAACGAGAGCGGGAAGGTATAAAACGCTAGTTATGCTTGCAGCCCTGCTGTTGACAGGCATGAACTGTCGCTGCTGCGTTCGCACAGCTGTTGAAGCCCTTGTCGTTACGCTTCTCGAATATTTTGACGTTCTCTTGCGCAGGTGATCGCCGCTGAGGGAGAGCAGCGGGCCGCGAGGGCGCTCAGGGAGGCGGCTGACGTCATGGGGGAGTCCTCGGGCGCCATGCAGCTGAGATACCTGCAGACGCTGAACTCGATTTCGGCCGAGAAGAATTCAACCATCATCTTCCCGATTCCCATCGAGATGATGTCCACCATGTACAACAAAGAAAAGTCATCAAAGTAATGGAACATTGAAGTTCTCGATGGTGATTCTGGGAATCCTCCAGTAGCATACCAATTTTTATCGACTATAAAGTTCGAGGGTGGGGGGGTGGGGGACCACAGAGCCACACTGGATTGAAATGATAGCTCATTCTCAACATGTTTTTTATTGCATTAAAAGGTTAAATAAATAAATGAGTAATAAATGAATAAATACGGGGAGTAGTTTAGTATTTAATGACTTTTTAAAATGAAATTGCTAATTTCAGAAAGATTTGATTGCTTTTCAAATACAGAAAGTCAAGTGCGTTTGGTATATGGGAGACTATCCTGACTTTCTAATATTGATTGAACTTGCAGGGGATACATAGAATGAACACAGAACACATATTCACACAAGTAACACACACACACATACACATGGGCCCCTACACCAACAAACAGGCACGCACGCACGCACGCACGCACGCACGCACGCACGCACGCACGCACGCACGCACGCACGCACGCAGGCAGGCAGGCAGGCAGGACACTTGTGTACAAGTGAGTGAAAGTTGTATGTTCTAGTTGTATCTATCAGTATATAATGATTGTAGAATTTATCGTTAGTGTTACTGTTGTGCGTACTTGCCTCAGCCTGCTAACTCCAGGAACCATCCACTCGTTTGATTTTATTGTTCCTGAATGTATACTACGTGAGATTGGTTGTGTTTATCGAACATGGGTAAACGTGTTAACTCGACCATCGGTACTTTATTCATACTGATCATCGACGATGGGTTATGAACCGATATCGTGGTTTCTTCATTTGAGATCTTGGTGAGCACGATAGCGCACACGTGGAAACATAGGATTCTATTTTATAGCTAGTTAGTAGTTCCACTGCAATGCAGAAAATTTTCAGGAAGTTAGGTATTTCGTTGAATCGCAATTCCTCTGTGGTATAACACCGTTTTTTAGTCGGATTTTTGTCAAATGTGAACACTCGTTGATCCGTGATTATTACGAAACATGGTCATAATCTAGTTTAAGTTAGCAGGCAGACATTGTATACTGTTTTCGATTTTTAACTGTAGTTTTTAATGCATTTTTAAATGTTTTCCCTAGAGAGATTGATGTACCAGAGGTGTGTCTTAACCTAGGGCCGTATTCAAAGGGTCTGCCATCCGATGGAATTGTAAATTTCTGTATGGTCGCTGTGTAAATGCAAATGTTTTAGCTCTCACCTTATCTTAGTGTGATGCTGCTTGCATGAGCACTTTCATTGGTTTTCTCGTTTATTGATCATTTGTCTAAATGCTCGCTATTTATTTGAGCTTATTTGTTCACTTATTGACCTCTAGTCGTTCGAGTATTGCTACTAATTTATCACGTGTAGTTGGTCTGCAGCAGTTGTCAGTATTGTAAGGTAAGGAGAGTACGTGGCGTATATTTGCTGTTTTCGTGTTCGGCTAACAGCCTTCGTGCACATGTAGCGCGTTGTCCAATTTAGATTAAGCCATATGGAAAGTGTATTGTGTGTGATGATGTCAAGTATAATTACTATGCGTCCTTTCATAATTGCTGTCATAGGGCTTGATCATGTATGATCTTTAGTGCCACGCCACGCACGCACGCACGCACGCACGCACGCACGCACGCATGTGTAGGGGGCTAAGTGCTAGCATGAGTTTAGGTGGGCTATACACTGACATGGTGGACAATCTATAATCTACGAGTGATTGGCGATGCCTCGTGTAGAGTCGACTAGGAAAACCAAAACTAGAAAAACAAGTAGAAAATGCTCGTTCCTCCTGACACAAATTCATACTCTGATGTCAGCATTGTGATGGGGCGTGTGTGCACGTAGGTTTAGCAGTATCGTCATGTGTTTCATTTTCATTATACTGTAGCTCGAGATGTGAATGTTGAAGTTCCATATTAAGACTAAGTACGTGTCATAATCAGATTTGTATTTTACCAAAAAGAGTATATATATTACGTGGTACAGTATGTTATAAGTCCATCCAATGTATGTTTATAATTTTGGTCCTCAAGTCGATCAAATTCCCTTTTAACGAAGTGCATCTTCAGAATTTCTGTCAGTTGATTAGTTGTTTTAAATTGACTACGTCACGAATTTTCTATGGTGTATATTTGTTGCAATTTTTGTTGCATTTTTTTTTACATTAAAAGCAAGTACTAACAGGACTAAATGTATCCTCAAATTCTTACCTGATGAGATTGTTTCTCAACTAGTTAAAAATCCAAAAAACCTGGGCGATTTGATATATTTATCATGACATTAAATGCTTGCTATGGGCTATGTATGAGTCATGAGTATTTGTTCACATTGAATGGAATAGCAAAATAGGAAGTATAATGCAGCAATTTAACCATAAAAAGTGAACAAAATCACTTACATTTTGTGAAAAAGTGGACAATTTGTTTACTTACACTATTTACAGTGACGTAATCACTTTAAACACCACCTACAGTATGTTGCGTGCCTGTTCAACTGAACAGAAGAAATACCCCCCAAAACAGCAGTTTACCTGAACAACTATTTCAACGTCGACTGCAGTGTAAACGCCATTGTTGACCTATATATAAGGACTAACCTTCACAATTCAATTGTGTAGTTTCGTAGGGGTTTGGGCAGAGTTCGTTTTATTTTCGTATACGTCACTAAGTAAGAATATATTCTAGTTTTAAAGCATGCAGTTAGAAGACATGTGGTCTGTAGTCGTCCATGCACTTACATGTACCATCAACGATAAAAATGTTATAATGAAAATAGAACTTGTTTTGGTAATTGTAATAAAATGTTGGTGATCATTTTACCTGCCGGTTTCTCTCGCGTGATATTTCCACACAGTGACACTGCAAATTTGGCCTTTGATATTTCATGCGGTATTTAATGTTTAAGTGTACTTATACTTGTGATTTAAAGTACGAATAAAGTTTATTTTCGTTTTTTCAAATTTAATAGATTTCATTATCATTAGTAACATTTAATAACCAAGACAGTCTGTTTACCGTGTGTATAATTCATGTGTGTGTTAGTACAAAGCAGCATGAAGTTAATTTGTCAAAGCTGTTTTTAGCATATAAATTGCAGTTATTTGTGATGTGTCACTATCAGTATGTCTCTGCTCATGGATTTTCTGCAGGACAAAGTGAAATAAAGCTTTATAACTAATACAAAACTGATAACTATCAGTATGTTCACAATTTAGGCTACAATAACCTGTGTAGCAGGATTTCACAAAGTACAAAATTACAGAAAAAGGAAATGTGCAAGAAAATATACTTTAATCAAATGAGTACAATTACATTTATCACAGCTTACACAAAATGATCTAAGGTTATACTGATGTTAATTCTAAGTACTTATTCGGTGTCCATTATAGCAGTAACAATACACTTCTGTAAACTTTTGGTTTAAAACAATTGGGTATCAGATCATTGGTTTTTCAATGTCACAATATTATAACCATTGGGCTTTTTGAAATGCTTCTATAAAAAACAAAATGCATACGTTTTATGAAGTGTAACAGATCGACCAATACATTTCTCACCTCAATATTTGCATAAAAGTAGTCTGCAGATGAAGATATATGTGAAGCAGAAACTTGAAATAAAAGAAATCACAGTTTCTGATTTTTATTAATATCTACAAGTTTTCTACATAACTGACAGTAGTAGGCCTAATGTTAGAGTGTGTATTAATATGCAAATAAACTTTTCAGTGTATACCTTCTAGTAGCAAACCCGTTTAACTTGCAGTAACAATGCTGTTTCACTTTCAGGCATCAGCCATTAGAAATGTCACCGAATTGTACCAATCGTTCCACGCAATGACTACTGTATACGCCATATTTTTCACGTACAGATATTGTCGCGAATTCAGACTTGACGGATAATTTCGCGAGTGGTTAATTTTGCGGTCGGTGAATTCCCGAATCAGTGAAGAATGGCGTGTTGTTATTTTCGGGGATGCGTTCGCGAAATTCGCGAAAATTAAACCACCGCGAAATATAGAGTATATACAGTACCTTACTCTGTCAGCCACTCTGCAATGAGATTTTTAATCTGTTCCCGTGCCTCTACCAGCTCCTTGGGATCACTCTCGCTGGCTGGGTACATGTTCGCACAGTGTGCTGTACCTAGAACAATAGAAAATAACGATGATACAGGTACAAAAAGATTACTAATCTCGTAAGATTATGAGAACAGCTATGCAGAGAATAACTCGTGCTACTAAACGTGAATAAAATGGTGCACATACAAAGCACATGAGGTTTTAGATCAATTGTTTTTGTATTTGTGTGTGTGTGTGGGGGGGGGGTAACTGATGCAATATACTTGGGTTAACTACTATATTTAATACAGCCTTAAAATCTAGGCTAATAGCATGAATCTAGGTATACTATATGATTATTTACCATAGAAACGTTCATTATAACGCTAACACTAATAGTCTTTCAACAGCAACATATATATCAGGAGTAGATAATAGGGAAGGAGTGTGACTTCGTCCTTTACTAACCTTAGAATACCTACGATTTACTACACGTAACTCAGCCAACTTCAGCTCAACTCGTACACAGTACATTCGCCTAGCATCGTGCGAAATCGTTTCCTCGTATACACCAGCAATCCGGAGTGCAGACTAAAACGTCTGACACGATTATCCATTCTTTGGCCATCAATCCAAACGTATTTCCCGCCAAACTTGAAACAAAAGGCATGCAGCTACTAACGCACTCTTGCTCACTCGGCTAGGCGGTGTGGCTCGCTGGGAGATTGGACATCGACGCAACACTCGGCGAGATAACCTTTGACCCGGCATACAGCTACATACCGGCATACAGGCATACCGGCATACAGCTGGTATGCCCCCCACGCATGCACGCACGCAATCAGCAGCAGCTCCAGCTCCAATCTCCCAGCGAGACACACCGCCTCGCCGAGTGAGCAAGAGTGCGTTAGTAGCTGCCTTTTGTTTAAAGTTCGGCGGGCAATACGTTCGAATTGATGGCCAAAGAATGGATAATCGTGTCGTACGTTTTAGTCTGTATCTCCGGATTGCTGGTGTATACGAGGAAACGATTTCGCACGATGCTAGGCGAATGTACTGTGTACGATTTGAGCTCAAGTTGGTTGAGTTACGCGTAGTAAATCGTAGGTATTCTAAGGCTAGTAAATGACGAATTTCCCTTGTTTATTGAAGTCACACTCCTTCCCGATTATCTACTCCTGATATATATATTCACAACCAATACTAAGCATCGCATACCTTTAATGAATATAGCGTGTGATTCATCGCCTGGCCTTTCCACAATGCCCATGCGATGCCAAGGATCAATGGAACCATTCGGAAAGACAACCTGGTTAAAGCATAAACATTGATGCCAATTTAAATGAGCTGGTTGGAATCTCTAATTCTGAACCATTACTACTACTTCGCTGATGAAACTGCAGCATCTTTAGGAATGCAGAGAGAAAGTACCAACGTAGTGTACTCTTGCATATTACACTCATCTGCACAGATTATTTAGAAAAAATACTTCCCTGGTGTGCATGCCGTATTAAGAGTGCAATAACTATTCAAGTTCAAGTTTCAATAAGATTTGAAACATATAGGTGCTCACCTTGGTAACCTTAATGCCAAAGCCACCGTAGTCATCATTCGTTCTACTGACAGCTCGCTGCAATAACTCCATGTTGAAGTTAGGGCCGAAGACATCAACACACTGCTGTGTCCAGAAGCTATTAACGTGCCGAAATCAACAAACATTAAACTATAACGCCAGTAGGACAGTATTATACCTTTGTGACACATTGTAGTGCCAGAATTTACGTCAGTGATTTGGGAGAAAAATCTAGTAGTCCAGCTTAATTCTGTTTCAGCTTAGTTCAGTTAGTTCACATGGTGTCTCCCTGAAATAAGTGCTACTCGTGGGAAAAAGTGAGTGTGTCCTTTATGGACATGCAAATGACTATTTTGTAGAGATGGCAGTTAACACAGATTTGACTGTACTTTCTAGTTTATAATAATATACCACATATCCACTTACTTGTTGCTATTGCTTTAATTAACTAACTATTGAAAACCTTTTTTATATGCATGTGCGAGTACACTACATCTTTGCTCCATGTTTACGCTCATTCCTGTTTACACTACATCTTTGCTCCATGTTTACGCTCATTCCTGTTTACACTACATCTTTGCTCCATGTTTACGCTCATTCCTGTTTACACTACATCTTTGCTCCATGTTTACGCTCATTCCTGTTTACACTACATCTTTGCTCCATGTTTACGCTCATTCCTGTTTACACTACATCTTTGCTCCATGTTTACGCTCATTCCTGTTTACACTACATCTTTGCTCCATGTTTAAGATTCATGAACTTACTTAATTGGGAATCGATGTCCAAATGGGTGATGAACATAATCCGAGGACTGATACCAGCCAAACTCAGTGCACGTCTGGTACATCCATGGTCGCTCTGCAACATGATTAAAAATACATCAAGCAGGCAAGAATATCAAATACAATCAAAAACAAAAACAAAAGCTGTCTACATTAGAGACATTACATTTTAAGAAAAGTAGACCATATGAAAAAAATACAAATTGGCAGCTAATACAGATAAAAATATAAATATAACCACGTAACCTATGACCATCAGATAATTTTATAACATACGGCAACTTTCTCATTAAACAAGGAACATGCTAAACTGTAGTATGTACCTCCAACTCCTCCTTCTTCTGGCCATGTTACATTTTGCTGTTCCTTGATGAATTTATCATATTTAAAGTCTTGACATGTTTCATTGTGTACCTAAAAACAAAACAAATACAACCACATTTTCAAGTTTGTCTTCATTTTGTATTCATTTTTTGTAAATTGTTATGACAGTAATACACTACAAATACATTACAGGTTTGAACTATTAATCCACATTTTAACTGCACATACTGCCCAATTTAGCAACACCAAATTATGAATAAATAGTAAGAACGGTATTGTATTAAATCATTTCATCGACCTTATCAAAAAGATTTCAAACTGTACATAAGAACCTTCAGTAGCAAATTGTTGACAGCAGCATAGCGTAGCATAGGTGCTCCCAGTGTCTCGTTCACCATCATTCCGCAGACCGTATCGATTGTAATATTTGCATCCGCAACCCCCTGTAAAACCAAACCAGCAGAACTATACTTGTGAGAAAATATTCACTCAGATAGCCATCATGGGGAAGTAACACGTAAGCACATAACAATAACAGTATAATTTAAAGAACAAAATTAAAAGAACAGTATATCGAGATATCAATGTCGTTAATGATTCTGATGGAAGCTAGTGTCTGGGACTAACCTCAAACTCCCTGTTATCGTTGTTGTACTGCACAATATTTTCAAAATTGCCTGCCAGAGTGCTGAACAGATTCGCAATGTCATTCTTATTGCGTTCATCAATTTCGTCACACAACCTGTAGTTAAGAAAACAACTGAGAAACTGAGTGTGACCATCTCATGTTAAAATCGTATGGACAGAAATATAAGACTTTCAAACATCAATACATCATTAATGAGATTTTGTACAATATGTTTTACATTTTCAAAACTGATATAATTAATTTACAAACAGCAACAAATGGCAACTCTATCACGTCAACATTTTATTGCATTTGTATCAATAAATGATAAATATGTATCATTGCAAACACTCCTTACATAAAGATATCCTTTAATAATGCACGCCCAACAGATTGTGGGATGTTTACTTCTACACCCCTTACAGCTGTCTGAATAGCCTCCGTACATCCAGGAACTGTTGTCTCCAGAGCATCTTGCACGACTTCAAGATATTCTGTAATAAAGTTTTAATATCAGCTGCATTATTAACGTTAAAAATGTTCTAAATTCTAAAAAAATGTATAAATTTAGAAATGTATCACGCACAATTTCATCATAACCAGTCATACTGAAACCTAATATCAGCGGCGTTTACATGGCATTCAGTGTTTATTAGGTTCTGTATCTCGGAAATCCGGTATTTGATCGAGATTCAGTATTTATACCGAGCCAGCTGTTTACATGGAGGATGTGTGAATTCGAGGCTTAGTAAGTGCCGTATTTTATCGAGCGTTTACACGAACAGATAATTCCTCATTTAACAATTCGGAGCTTAGCTGGCGCGACAAATTATTCTAGCAAGCACTGAATGCGCTTACGCAAACAGATAATTCTGCATTTAACAATTCGGAGATTAGCTGGCGCGACAAATTATTCTGTGCTTATTAAGTGCGGAATGTGCAGTATTTGTTAACTCCGAATCTAATAAGCACCAAATATCCATCCAATTAAGTCTCGAATTATTTAATTGTGTAAATGTGAAATGCAAAATCTAATCGACCATGTAAACACCACTATCTTCTGCAGGGGTGATAAATAACAGTATCCAGACATATTTACAATTGTCAATTTGTCACAAGTATTTGCATTCCGGGCCTTGTTGGGAGCTATGCAAATAGTTTTAAGAGAACATGCTGCAATCAAACAAGTATAATCTTGATGTATTATTCTATATCTACTCCCATGCCTTACCCAAGAAGTTTATCTTAGCAAACACAGGTCCACTTGTAGCAACGGCTCCATCTACTAGGTGAGGGTATTTCAGTCTGAACCAGGCAGCAAGGGAACCTATATACATTTGAACACAACACATTATAACACTAAACGTTGAGGTAATTCAACAATTAAGTGACTACAGTTGGTAAACAATTAATCATAGTAGGGGACACAAGCATTATTTCCTTTACATACCAGGATAAGAGCCGCCGAACGCAATCCACTTGCGCTTCTGAAGACCGAGAACATTGGTCATGTTACTGCGGAAATATGCCAGATCAGCCAAGGCCTGCTCACTGTTTAGATATACCATGTGCTTCACTCCCATATCCCTGTAACAAACAAACGACCAAATTTAATTTGCACATGGTTTCGCAACAGTGCAGCGCTGCCATATAATGTGTACATATCCTAGTAACACATATCGCTTACTTTTACATGTAACCATACATGTGAGAGGCTATATAGAAGCTAGTAGTCATTCACTTAAGTTTTCTGTGTGATGGGTAAGTGTTAGCTCTACCCTAGCAGGGTTCCCCAAGCTTTTAGATTATAGCATGAGGATGCTACTCACTGCTAGGGGGGTCCGAGGGCATGCGCACTCAGAAATTTTTTGAATTGTAGAAGCTCTGAGATGCAATCTGAGACACTCTGTGTGTAAATTTGAAGCACTGCATGTGGGGTGAAAATGTTTGTTTTGCATGGGCAAAGCCATCGGAAAATTCAAAATAATTAATGGAATAAAAATACCAAAATGTAGGGGTGAACTTGCTGGTTTGCTGGTTACAAATCGAGTTCACCTCTCATAAATAAATGAAATTTTTTTGTCACCATTGACAATGGCAGGAGTGGTCGGTAAGTGTACCAGTCTACTCTACCTCGTGTTAGACTGGGTTACCTGCCCAGTAATAATGCCGTTGGAAATTAATTCACGATTAAGATTTCTTGATGAGCTAGAAAACACTCGGATTTGAAGTATGAAAATGAACATTATTGTGCCAGCTAGCCTACACCAGTTGGTTGGGATTGATTGTGAGTTCAGATGCAAAATATTTAAAGCAAAAGGTTATACACCATAGATTAATTTGGGGTACTATAACATGCGTATATAAGATAGCCGAGTCCGTTTAGAGTTAGTGTTAGGGATAGGGATAGGGATAGGGTGACTGTTTGTGTTTGTGTGTGGGACTGCCGTACCCGTAGCATCGAGACCAACGTGTATTAATTGTTTGAACTTCTTGTGTATGCACCAGCATGGCGGCTATGATATTTAGCGTGGCGAGTGCATTTTAGGATGGCGGGGCTTGACGATAGCCTGGCAGGCCGCCAGGCTATATAAGTGCCCTTGGAGAACCCTGCCTAGAATAAATGTACCGGCTCCAACAAACAACAAGAGCAGTTCAACAAGCATCAACAAAAACAACAGCTCCAAGAAATGGTCATACATCCAACGACCATGTATTGATGTTACGTCTGTCAGTTTGGTTGGGCTACCCCTCAGTATATACCTGGGAGTGCTCTACAACCACAGCTGGCGGTTATACTGGTACGGCTCAGAAGTCCCTGGGAATACACTTACACAGTTGGATGACTTTTTCCGTAGTATCTGTGCTCCAACATGAGGCACAGAGCACCGAAATCTTGTGCATACTTAATCCATGTTCCAGTTGTCATCCATAGAGAGTTAGCTTTCCCCTCCCCTCCAATCATGAGAAACACAGGTGCATCAGGGTTAGTGCTGTTGAAGAATGTGTCGTTCACAAAATACCTCTGAAAAGTAGATAATTAACTTAATTGCATATTATAGCCTGATTAGGCCTAGCAGTAGCATGTCTACATGAAAAAGGATATATCTTAAGTGATGAGCACAGCAAGCAACAGAGATGTGGTGAAAGTAAATCTTCGCCTGGAGTTGTAGCACGTACCGTTACTACTACTACTACTAGCAGCACTATAACTTATAATATAAGGGATATATGATGTGAAATCCGGAAACATCCGGACAGCTGAAAATAGGCAAAAAACAGGAGAGTAGCCTCGCATCAACGTCGGTGTTTTCGACTTCCTACAAACAAAGGACATATTTCTTAATAGATATAAATAGCCAAGATCCTGAAGAAGAACTTTGTAGAATTTCAAGTCTCTAACCCCACCCCCATTTGCGAAAACGAGCTGCCTAGGGCCTACACCTGCTTCCAAACATTGGTGTCCGCGTGATTGAAATGGTCTAGACGCTGTACCAGCCACTTCTCTGGAGGCGGTTCGACATTACTTGAGTGGCGTGGCGTGCCTAGAAACCCTCCTTTTAATTTTCCACGGAAAATGTAAGGCGTTCCTGCACAAATGTCTCCGAACGTAAAACATAACAAAAAAGATAGAGCAACAGTACGCCTGTTGCTGGACGCAGCCATCATTGAAAGTGTCGCGTGAAATATAACGTTGTGTTTAGATTTGGCGAACGCATGCGCAGCGCACTTGAGTGTATGTAGAGCATACAAATCAGCTAGTTGATTTATATGCTCTGGTGTATGTATCGTCATAGACTAAAATCAAATAACGTATATCAATAATACGTTAACAATCCGATAATATCTAATATTATATATATATATATAATATATATATATATATATATAACTACATATATATAGTATGTATATATACTATGTATATATACTATATGTATATATAGTATATGTATA